ATTACCAAAAACTCGCTAAGCTTAGTCTCAGAAATCTGCACTATAAACTAAAGCCGTAAACATGCTTTCCCCAAAGTTGGACAATGTTTGCGTAAAATATCCCTACGTTTGTCACCTATTTGCGCATAACGTCCCTATGTTTCATATTTTTGCTAAAACCGTCCCTGTACATCCTGTTTGAAATTCCTTTCATTCATTGCATCAACAACTCACAGCAAACTCAACAAGCAACCCCACACACTAATCAACCCACTAACTCCACTTACTGGTCAAACTTCAAATTAAAAAAGCAGTAGACTATACTGAACAAATAGGTCTGTAATGATACAATAAAAGGCTTAATATTATAGTTAATATTTACGGCCAAATTTGCATCTAATATATTGGCAAAACAGAGATGTCCATTGACATAGCATTCATATGTTTAAACAAAAGAAATTTACAGTTCAACGGTTACTTCAAGATAGTCGCAAACTGCATTCTACAGAAACCAAAAAAATGATCTGATTGTCCCTAATTCCTTACTGGTGGTAGTGCCCCTTTGCAGCTCCTACTGTTGTGCCATGATTCTCCACATTTTCGACAACTTTGAGTTTGACTTGCTCTTTTCTTCGCGCCAGATATACCTGCTGAAATTGTCTTTGAAGGGGTTTTATTTTGCGAAGACATTCTAGACTTCTTTGCTTGACTAGAAGACTCCACCTCATTAGGTTCTTTTCTTCTATTCTTTTTTGGCCTCTTGACCTTCTTTGTGTATGCAGGTGGTCTGAGTCGGTTGAGACCTGGACTAGGCCATGAGTCTGGTCCTGTAATTGGGAAAATTGAAGGCGTATACGTGATCAAATAACAGTCCTTTTTGTAGATGGCATGTACATAATCAACAACATTAAGGCCTTTTGATACCAATGAGGCAATCACGTGGCAACAAGGGATTCCCGATAACTGCCACCCACGACATGTACAAGTCCTTGCCCTAAGGTCAATAGAATGTACTGTAATGCCTACATTGTGCTGAACTTGGAACTTCTCATTCCCCGCATATTCAGCCCATTCAAACCTTGACGCTTACTGTTCTTTTCGAAAAAAATTTGGATTCTAGGGCCCACTATTGATGTCCATCTATCAGCTGCCTCCCTACGGGCTACAATTCTCTTCATCAAGTATACCCTAATCTCCTCAAGCATAGTTAGAATGGGCTTCTCTCTTGCAGTGACAATTGTATTGTTGAATGATTCATACAAATTGTTCAGCAACATGTCACACTGCGTCCACTCTCGAAAGTGGGATTTGCTCCAATGGAAGGCTGGTTTTTGTTCTAGCCACCCATACGCGGCTGGGTCGAGGTCCAACATTTTTGTATATGTGAAAGCCACTGTGGCACAGTAGTGGCTCTGGCTGCATCCCAAAGGCAATTCTTCATAGCCAGTCCCTTATGCATCGCGCTGAAATTATTGTACAAATGTCGAACACATGTTCTGTGCTCCGCACTCTCAAACAACGACTCAATCGCATTAACCAACCCCTTTTGCTTATCTGAAATGAATGTTTAGTGCATGCCATTGTGTATATGCAAATTATCTTTCAGCAGGTCTAAAAACCACCTCCAATTGTTTTCATTTTCTACCTCAACAATTGCATACGCTATTGGATACATACCATTGTTTGCATCCACTCCAACGACAGACAATAACTGCCCACCATACTCCGTCTTTATAAAGCAACCATCTAGACCAATCACCCTTCTACACCCCTAATGAAACCCTCCTTTAAAGCTCCAAGGCAAACATATAACCATCGGAATTCTCCAGCATAACCTTCAACAAATGCTGTGGTCCTACTATTAGTCCACTTCAACTCTTCACAATAATCCCACAGTATTTTGTAATGGTCCACCACAGTCCCCCTAATCTTCTCTAGTGCTTTCTCCTTAGTTCTATACACTTGCCAGAGTGATATATTACCTAAATCGTCCCTTTTAACCCTCTTCGTGAATGTGCTGACTTACATATTTGGTTCGGACCTCCAATCAGATAAATATCTATCTACCAAATACGTGGAAGTCACTCGAAAATTCTTATACACCATTGAGCATGTATGCTCTGGCACATATGTTTTGATCATCCAAGTTGTCTTGACACGCTCCTTGGTAGCATACAAAACCAAGGGACACTCTCACTTGCACTTAGCTCTCAATCTTGATGTATCATTCTTCTTGTATTTAATCTCTCTGTTGCTCATAACTGAGTATGAAGTGATGGCAGCCTTCAACACAGTTTGGACTCAAATACCAAACCTAAAAATAAGAAAATACAATCCTCTTAGTCATCCATAGAGAATGGGCTACAAGTGAGGTAAACAATGTGTTGAAATTACCTTGACTGAATTTTGGGTCTCCCATATCAGTCATTGAATTGAAAGCATCAGTCGAAACCCTTCTTCTTGAAGTTGTATCATCCTCATTTGTACTCTCCATACTTCGCAACTCATCGGAGTCCCCATAGTCGGTATCCGAATCCCTAACTTGATGCTCATCTCCCACACCTAATCCAAAATCAAAATTTACCCTTTCACGCTCAATTTCAGCAGTAGATACTGGTTGATCCTCCATCTCATAATCAGATTCCACCAAACTTTCAACCCCACATTCAACCTCAGCTTCAACCCTAACTTCATCATTTTCAACACCCATATGACCCACATTTTGATCTTCTTCGCAATGGTATTGAAGGGTTTCCTCGTACTATGATCGCAACTCTTCAGCATTGTCGTGAAAAACCTGATCCGACCAATCAATTTTAGGCTCCACACCTTCAATTTCTTCCACATAAAGTACATAGCAACCTTCAAAAGTTTGTGGTTCATCGCATTGTGCATCATCTTCTGGGATCGATGCATGCATTGCCAATGCATGCAATTGCAATGGGGCGACAACATATATCTGCACGACTGGACGGTCACCTCTATCCCTAAGCATTTCCTTTATATCCTTCTCACTCTCCAATCTATTCAACCCCTTCCCTAAACTCAATTTTTGTTTTCTGTAGTAAAACCCCAACATTGAATCATTAACAACCGCATCTAAAAACTTCGTTAAATTACCTTTCGTAAACATTTTGACATGGACAAAGTCGAAGAACACCACAAATCCATTTTCGTATGACAGATTGTTTGGCTTATCATAGTAGCGGCCTCTGTTATGCAATTTAACAGTGAGTAACCTGAGTTTCACCTGCATGCAAAACAATACAGAGATTAGGGTATAAACAGTGAAAAATGATATGGAAATGGTGGAAATGAACAAATACACGCTGATCAAATACACAGCATAAATGCTTAAAGGCTAGACAAAACCACAAAAATTTCAGCTTCCAACCAATACCGTATAATCTCTGATTCTTATTAATCAGGGAAAAAAATGATTGAATATTAAGATAATGTGTTATTAAAAAGTAAATAAAGTTTTAATTTACGTATAAAATATTTTATTATATGAATGTGTGGTTGAAAATGATCATATAACAAATCATAAATTAAACCCTTGTTTGATCTCATTATTCTAAAAATTCATTTTTTCAAAACTCATTTTCAACCACATTCTTCAATAAAAATAATATTATACATAAATCCAAAACTTTTCTTTACTTTTTAATCACACATTCTCTATCAATCTACTATTTAAAATGTATTATTTCTCCCAAAATGGGGATAAAACAAGGGCAAAATTAATAAGATCAAACAAGCCCTAAACCTTCTCGTAATTTTTGCATCTTATATCTTTATTTTGACTCTAACACCTCAGCTTAGATTGACATGTTGTAATTTAAAAGAAAATTAATTTTGGCAATCAGATAATAAAATCATTCATCATGAAACAACTTAAATTACAAAATTGGTTACATATGATTAAAATTTTGGGGAGAAAACGTGCATTTTAGAAATATGTGTCAATGTCAATCTAGGTATATATATTGAATTGGGTTAATAGCATAAAACGTCCCTATGTTTGGCACTTGTTGCGGAAAACGTCCTTATGTTTCATTTTTTTGCATTTTTGCCCTTATTTCAACGTTTTGTTGCGAAAAACATCCTACCGTCCATCTGTGGTCTATTTTATAGTTAAATGCACACCTGACTCACTTTTAATTTCAAGCTTGAAGGATAAAATGGTCAGACACTCCAAACAAACTCTACTTCTCACGATAAAATATATACGTTAGTCTTCATACTCAGAATTATTCACGTCCCCTACCGCCCATCCGACTTCAGCCCTTTCACATATCATCGGCGATTTCAACACGAAGGGTGGGCAGTTTTTTGCACGCGGTGGAGACACACTAATAGAAGGTAGGTGGGTCGCAGTGGAGCCGTTATTTTTGAAGTTAGTGTTCAGAATTTCAGACATTGAATGATCGACGCTTGGTTGCTAATTTTTTATGGGTGTTCTCATTTTTTCTTGCAAAGTTTTCTGTTGAAAGCGAAATGCCTCATCCATTCATTAGAGGACTCAACAATGCCACACCCACATACGGTATGAACATTGGAGGGGGGTTGATAATTGATTTCCCTTCATTAATCTTAATTTATATGTGTAGTTCAAGTTTGGAACTTGATTAAAATCGAAAATAGGAAATAGGAAGAGAACCAGACGTTTTGGGAGAAATTTTTGGGGGTTTTTACGAGCTTGTTTGGTACAGATTTTAAGTTAATTAAAATTAATTTTTTTTTATCGTTATTTCACTATTTTAGCTGTCATTTTTAAATTTTTCTCTCACAGATAGGGTCCAATTTACTTCTAATAATTAAAAAATCAATTATCAAAATCCCTGCCCACCGTAATTGATTTTAATTGGCTCAAAATCTATACCAAACAAGTGCAAGCACTTGGGCTGAGATTACGGGGATGTTGGGTTGCAGTGGGTTGACAAAAGAAAGAAAAAAAAAAGGAAAAAGAAAATAAAACTATAACTACGCAGAGGCCCTCGCATTTTTCAAAATTTTAAAAAGCCCTCTCGGATAATACTACACATCACTTACTCTCTCTCTAGGGTTTAAAATCAACTGCTCAAATTCTCCCCGTCTCTCTCTAAACTCGTGTAAGTCTCCCTATCTCTATATTAATTTATCATGTACCGTGTTCTGTGGGCATTTTATCATATGCAAGAAGTAAAATTACGGCCTTTTTTTGTGAAATTCATGGTATAGTTTTGGTTAATTTTTGGGTTTTAAGGGCTTGGAAAGCTTGAAATTTGCCTTTATTCTGAAAGGATTTCGGTTTATATAGTTAATTCTGTAAATATGAGTTTTTATTTTTTTGTACATGAAACAGAACTGAATAGTTTACTGTTGTAAATATTTTAAAGTTTAGTTATAGTTAATTTAATGGGTTTTAAGGGTTTGAAGCTTGAGAAAATTATAATCTTTTCCTGGCTTGCGAATTTCACTTGGTAATGTTTCTATTTCTTTTTGATCAATTTGCAATGGTAGAAGGTTTTTCTTATGTTCTTAATAACAAATGTACTTTAATTTTTTGAATTGTATATGAAATCTTTTACTAGTTTTTAGAGTTTCTGGTTCTCATATAATTTAACAAGAGAAATAAATTTGTTTTATTTTTTTGAACCTGCAGAATCTTGGATATTAGTGGTTGGGACTTTCCTGGTGAAACCCTAGTTTATGAGCTTCAAAACTTGTAAATTTTGTGTCTTTTCTTCAATTGAAGAAAAGACATGGTTCATACTAAGAAAGAAAGCAATGGATGTGCAGGTGGCAGTGGAAATGGGAGTGGAATAGTGGCATTGAATACTGTCCTTAGTGCAAATGGCACTGCAAAAGTTGAAAATAGTGGTACAAATTTCACTAGGTTGGCTGGCGATTCTTTACGTACATACAAGAGGCGAAAGAATGTGAAATGCACAGATCGTGGGAAGGTTTCGGAAGATTCAGTGAGTCAAATTACTGAAAAGGTGTCAATAAAATTCACTTGTTTCATTTTTTCCACAATATGCTTCATTATTTTCTCTTGGTTTATATTCTGCTGAAAACGGACAGAGCTTTGTGTGCTTTTAGTTGCCACTATCTCCTTATCTTGAGGCGCTTAGATCGGGAATGTTAGCTAAAGACTTACTGTTGGAGAAAGTCCATGAATATCTGCTACCTGATAACCTCATGTGCTAAGCTAGTTTGTTTGCCAGGCTACAAAGAAATCACGAGGGTAGGGTTTTTAGATTTACTATAAAGGGGAGGCGAGCACTTTGGAGTACCTTGGATAGAATTTTCATTATAGGAAACTGTTACATATTAAAGAATCTTATTTCAAAAGAAGATGCATGCATTTTGATTAGAAATGAGCTCTCTTAAAAAATGCTACATGAGTTGGCAAGGGATCCTAGGGAAAGCATTTCACCTCAATTTATATTGACTCCACAATCATTAGATGTCTCCAACCTTATTTTTACCATATATTACCGCAATCTAGCATGCTCTCACCACTCTTATCAAGGATCTGGAAAAATCTTTAGAAATGAAGGGATGGGCAGAAAGTAATATACTGTGGGATGTAGAATTACAAAAGCTTTATAGAATAAGAGGGTTTCTTGGTTACAGGGCGATTCACCAATAATGATTCTTCTCATGACCGTTTTCCTGTCTAAAATGATGCTGGATTAGAGAAGTGGAAGACAGCACATGGGATCAATGTTTAAAAGGGGTAATTGGGTACTGAGGCGCGTTTCTTTTGTGAGGATAAGTTTAAAAAATATATAAAATTGCAAAATTTTCATAACCAAAAATTTAAATTCACAAGCTAAAAATAAATCAATAGAGTGGCAAATAAATTATTCCCATTCATGGTAAATCTTCTTATATGTTACAGTTATGACTTATGAGATCATATTTAGTTAGAACATGCATAGCTTTCTTCTAACCATTATAAAAATATTGAAGAAGAAAGGAAAGAGATGAGTTAGAGATTTGCACTAAACACAAGGCTAAATAAATGAACGAACAAAATAATAGAAACAAAAATTCACAAAAAGGTGAAAAAGACTTGACTTGACATGACATTGGATCTCAACAGATAGCTTTTGCGTGGTGTTTTGGTGTTTGGCCTTTGTAAAACCCTTTTTTATTCTTATTTATATAACTGCTTTTATTGTTTAACATAATGATATTGGACTTTTCAATTTGCATTTAACAAATTAAAAAATGAGTTTTTAATTAGTGTCCCATGCCAAAAAAACTGAACAAAAAATAGGAGCGCATGACTCCAAGAATCTGAGGCGTGAGCTTTGAGGTGTGAGCATTATAAATGGTCTTCAGAATTCATGCCTCAGTAATTTCTATATGTACCTCTTGATGAGGCGTGCCCAGAAAAGGTTTTTTGAAACCAGGATGCATCACTTTGACTTAATGAAGATGGACCTTAAATTGAACCTTCTTTCTGAAAGTTCATCTATGATGATTATGAATGGGAATCAATTAACTTTTAAATTTGAAAAAATTAATAAAGAGATGAAATTTTTTGACCCACCTTTATGTAAGTGAAGTTAGATACCTTAAGATGAGCATTATGTTTACTGGGAGAATGGTAGTGAACAAGAAATGCTCCCATTAAGTCATATAATGTGGAAAATGTTGAAAACAGAAATGACAATGAGAAAGTAAAGTTCGTTGAAGATCTGTGTATTTTCCCTTCCCCCGGTGATTTTATTTAGAAAGTTGAGAAATGAATTCAATGATATCAGCATTAAATGCCAGGATGTAAGATAGTTGAATGCCTATTGAGGCTGGATAAATGAAATGATTCTATTGAAGTCGAAGAAGTGATTTTAATCTTAAGGGAGCGATATACCTAATATGTGGAAACACATAAGTGATAAGTTCTTCGCTATGGATTCCCTTCGATGCCTCTGTTTGAGTTTCATTTCATTTTGCTAAAAATCAAAGTCAAAAATGAATATTAACTCACATTTCATATGACCACAAATACTATCCACTTTTTCCACCGCTCATTTATTGAAAAGTAAAATTTTAGCAAAATGGAATGAAAGCCAAACAGAAGCAACATCTAGGGTGCTACTGTTAATGTGATGGAAATTACGCGCCAGTCCATTGAGCCAGCTGTTTTTGTGAAATTGATCTTAATGGAGAGATCACATATTCGAGTGAGGTAGTCAACAACCTGTCCAACTCTGTTGAATGGCTATTGTTTTAGTGTCTCAAAAGGGAGTGAAATGGACATAGTTCACCAGTGAAAGAATAGCAACAAAAGATGGCTTTCTAAATGTTGCAGGTATTTTGTGTGAGGTTATTTCTTTTGCTCTTTCAATATGTCTTATGTATTGAAAGCTATGAGTGAGGTATGGGAATATAGTACTCACAATGTGTTGTGGTGCTTGCATTTGTTGAGTTTAGTGCATTTATTTGCAAAGATAGAAAACAAATAAAATTGATGGCTTTTGAATGTTAATCTGGTCAATCTTACATTACATACCTTCATTTTTCCTTTTTCATTTCCTTTAAGATTTATTGCTGCTGCTTATAAACCATAATTCTTCATATACATTTTGATTATAACTGTCGCATCGCTCTCTTGGTGATTCTTGACATGAATGAATATTTTTATCTTCTCCGAGGAAACAGCTTGAAACAATCCGTGCTGATTTTGTTTGTGACGACCTTTCCATCTATTCTCTTTCTTTTCTTTCTCCCCTTGTTTAGGATAATCTATGATATTGCTTTCATTTAATACATAATTTTATTAGCATATATATATTCAATTCGAGTTCTCCTGTAGCAGTCGTTCTTTATGTGCTCCGGGGCATTGTGTAAAACAAGATTCACAGAAGAAAGCTGAAGGAAAAACATGGCTTGGTTATTTAGCTCATTGTAGAATCATGCAGTTCAATGGTCAGAAAATGCTTCAGTCACTGCATCTTATTTCTTGAGATTATCTTTGGTAGTCATTATTCCTAAAGATATTTCATACTTGATCATGAACTATTCCATGATCTTATTAGTTTTTGGTTAAAGTTTTGATATATCAATGTTTATGTGTGGATTTGATGATGTCGAAGTTCCTACAATGATATTTGTACCATTACTTCAAGAACGAAATGTTTTTACCAGTCACTTCATTGTTGGCATTTCTCATTTTCATGTATCCCTTCTCTGTTCTTCTCTAAGATTTCTTGATTTGATCTTTGCAGTCAGTGAAGCCATTATTGGATGCAGTTCCATTCACAAATTTTAATACGCAAGTTAGTGGTTCTCAGAAAGTAGCTGATGCTCTTATGAATTCCAATGATTTCTCCCTCAAGAAACAGAGAAATTATGTTTTGGAGCAAATATGTCAGTCATTAGAGAGTGAAGGTGCTTTGAAGAAATGCATTCAAAATGCTCTTTTGTTTCATCCGGGAAGTGGTAGCAGAACTACTATTAAGGTACATAATGCTATTAGAATTTTAGGATTCCATTCGTCATCTGATGCATAAGAATCAGGAACCACTCTTCTTTTTGTCTTTCTATATGCTTATAATTCTATTTTGTATCTAAAAGATGATGTAATAAATCTTTCCAGTTTGGTCCCCAGGACTCTATTTATTCTTGTGAAAATGGAAGCAAATGCTCCTTGCAGACTGGGTTTGTATGTGACGATATCCAAAATGCAGCTCTAGGCAGTGTAGGTAAACCTTTCAGAAGATCAGTTAATGAATCGAATCATTGCACTGGTACAGAACTCTGTCGGTGCATGTTTTCCGATATCATTATGTCAGAAAAATTTGCCCAACTATGCAGTTTACTGCTCGAAAATTTTCATGGATTGAAGGCTGACAAATTATTAGATTTGAGTCTAATAAACTCAAAGATGGAGGAGGGTGCATATGAAAGTTCACCAGTGCTCTTCTATTCGGACATTCAACAGGTATGTTTTGCACTTCCCTATAATGTCCTAATTGTTAGTATCTTTAAATACTCTTGATTGACAGCTCATATATGTTCATAGATGCATAGGCATTTTTGTTTCATCTTGCCCCATATAGGGATCTTTAAGTCTGGGGAACAACTGATGTATATAGCTGCTGTGGGTAACAGCAATCGGTGTCAAGTTACCCAATCTGTGTCAAGGGGTCTACTTCGTTCTTGATTTGCATGTATGTGGCAATGTACTGTGCCAAAAACATTTATTTTGTTAGTTAAGTGTTTGAAATGATTTACTTTCAAAGATTAATGACTGCCCTGAAACTTTTATTGTCTATTAACTTAGAGGAAAAAAGACACGGTAATGAGAAGTATAGCCTTTCCTGGTGTAACTTTGAAGATGGCCCTTGATCAAGCCGAGGGGAGTAGAAGTGTAGGATAAGGCTTAGGTGAGCCCAGTCAAGTTGATAGTGTTGTTGTTGACATAAAGGTGCACTTCTGAATATTGTGTTTCAATTTCTTGTGACGCATGCATCTGAACATGATCACCTGTGGAGACATGGGAGTATCCTGTATTTTCTGAAAACTTCAGGGTAGTTAGGCAGTGTAAATTAGGATGTTAAATCTTTGAGAAACTATGTGGATGCAGATGGGCAACACAAATATAGATGGGTTATCTTATAAGGAAAACAGAAGGTAACATTTGATAGGAGGGTAACTTTCGAGTTTTTCTTTTCTTATCTTGTTATTGGCAAGGTCAAAGCTTAAGTATATTAGAATTTGGGTTTCTTGCTTCCCTTATTTTATTTTTAAATTTCTTTTGCACTTGATCTGTATATGGGTAGATTTAAAGTAGCTATTGGGTGTGTATCTCATACAATCAAGTAGGGAAGATGTTGCTTTATGTTTCCATATAGCCCTTGTTTGATACCCATTTTTTCAAAATACATTTTTCTCTCCCTTCTTTTCAACCTTACATCTTCAATAAAATAATATTACACGCAAAATTAAAACCTTTTCTTAATTCTTAACCACACATTCTACACCAATTAACTATTTCGAAATGCATTCTTACTTAAAAATGGGAAACAAACAAGGGCATACTATCTTCAGCCTTAAGTGCTAACATCCTTTTATAGGTTTGGAAGAAGCTCCAAAAGGTTGGCACTGATATGACAACCCTTGCAAAGTGTCTTTCAGATAAATCAATTACTTCTCTTAGTGCACAGGTAGATTAGACTTGCAGATATTATATTTATGCCTATGGTGTCCTCCATTGATTTGTTTTCTGTTTCTATGCCTTAATGTTTTTTCTTACCTTTTTGGGTATCATCAGGTGGGCAGTTCTGGACACAACATTCCTGAGGATTGCAGGCATGAGGTAATAGTTTCCTCTTATTTCCCTTCTCATGCTCATTGCGGGTGGGAGGCGGGGTGAGAACGTGTTGAATGAGCAGTTTAAGATTGTTAATTATCCAAATCAAGTATGTATGGACCTGTTTCAAATATGTTGTGGCCTCATTTGTTGCATTGTGGAAAAGAAAGTACAGGGTGGCTGGACGATTCATGCGACGTCTCATGTATGCATCATATGATTTATATTGATACTAAATTACAAAATAGTTAATGCATGTGTAGAAGCTATTGCAATGCATTTTGACTATAAATTCTATCTTTACTTTACATCCGTTCTTATAATAATCAATTTGCCAGATCTAGTTGAATAATAAGTGTCTCTCACCTTTGAGATCCGTTGTCTGGTTGGCAGCTGGTTTTTATGAAGAATTTAGATATATTTCTAAGCTTGTGGTTCGTTTTAGTCCTTAATTATGCCATATTTTTAACGTTTATCCTGATTACCCTGTAATGAACATATATATGATCAGATAATGAAGGAAAGAAAAATTATTTGTGAGTGCATAACTATTTCTTGTAGTTCAGTTTTGTCATCCTGTATTTATTACTCTTTCAACGTTCTAGATTAAATGGTCTTGGAGATTATGAGCAATATTGAATCATTGTGTTAATGAGTGAAGCTATTGTCCAGTGGTAAAGACTAATCACGTAATCAGTTTGAGATCTCTAGGATATCCTCAGTAGTTGTGGAAGGACATGATATTTGTAATTTTCTGACACTGGCAGTTTCTTACACAAGAATCTGACATGCATGCTAAAGTGGAGCAAACAGAGGCCTGTCCTATCTTTGAAGTCCGCTCTTGCAGGTGTTGCGGAGAGAAGTCAGATGGAAGCAATGGTCTAGTGTGTGATTCTTGTGAGGAAATGTATCACGTCTCCTGTATTGAACCTGCTGTGAAAGAAATTCCCCTCAGAAGTTGGTACTGTACCACCTGTTCGTCAAAGGGGATTGAATCCCCACACGATGACTGCATAGCTTGTGAGAGACTGAATGCTTCCAGATCATTGATTGATGCTGATGGAGGAGATGACCTCGTGGATGAGGAAGCGCCTGAGGAACTGGAGGATAGTTCAAATGAGCTAGTCAGCGATGAAATTGAGCTGGAAAGGGAGTTTCAAAACTGCAAGGTTTGTGGAGCCGAGGTTGGAAATGATGAAGATTATAGAATTTGTGGCCATTCCTTCTGTTCTCAAAAGTTTTTCCATGTGAGATGCTTGACTAGTAAGCAGTTGAAATCTTATGGTCCGTGTTGGTATTGCCCTTCTTGTCTATGTAGAGCTTGCCTCGCAGATCGAGATGATGATAAGATTGTTCTGTGTGATGGCTGTGATCATGCGTATCACATCTATTGCATGCAGCCTCCTCGCACTTGCATACCCAAAGGGAAATGGTTTTGCAAAAAATGTAATTCTGATCTCCAGCGTATGCGCAGAGCAAAAGGGATGTACGAGAATACACAAAACACAGCTGAAAAGAGAGCCTTGGATGGAATGCTAAAGGGCGAAGAGGGTTTGGATAAAGACGGTGGTGTTGACATGCTTTTAAATGCAGCCAAAACTCTGAACAATGAGGAGAATCAGGCGGCCATGTGGTTGAATAGTTAAATAATTAAGCAACTACTATTTTTGAGGACTAAGAGCCTAACCTTGGTTTTTGTTTGACACAGGAGTTCATGTACCTGTAGTTTTAGTGTAGGACAACGTATGCTGCTTCATCATGTAGTTGACTGATATTTTTACAGATTGATAGACAGAATTTGACTTTGATGGTGGGACTGATATCCGCTTTTGCCCGACCGAAGAATTCCTGCCCTCTGTCTGGTATATTTGTATGATAGCAGTTGCTGAATTGTCTTAGGTTTGTACTTTACAGTTGATACTTTTCTTTTCTTAATGGGAGGAAGGAGGAATCAGGATATATTTCGTTGGTTGTTAGATTAGATTACACCATCGAAATATGGAGAATTACCCTCCTTGAAAATTAGGCCAAGAGAACATATTTGTTTCCCCCATGTTAAACTCTTTTGGAACTTTTCAAAAGAGGTTCAATTAGAAATCTTGTTTTTCAAAAGTGTAGCAACTCTTATTTCTTTGTTCTTTCCTTTATCTTCTTTTCAATTTTCCTCCATGGGTCTTCAGGGAATGTTTGGTATGTATTACTAGGATTGAATTAGTTTCTCTTCTTTAATATACGATCCATACCAGTTTACCTTACCAAACATATGCCATTGGTGTACATTTTGTGGCATTGCCAGAAGATCGTCTGAAGAAAAATAGATGGGGCTTTACCATTGGAAGATTGGATTTACAAAACTTAAAGAGTAAAAGCTGATTTTTCTCTCTTTTCTCAAACCATTTCGGATACTTTGAAAAGCACATTGAACTATCTTTGTGGTTGAGAGCCCTCACAGCCCTGGAACAAAGACGCAATTATTAGGGGCACGCTCTACCACTGAGCTAATAGCCTGTCCATCGATTGTTTATTTGAAGTAGACTAATTAAACTATTCATAACGGAAAGGCTTTGTTTCGATCTATTGGATTAGCACTCCATTAATTATTCATATGCATAAACGAAATTACTTCCACTCCAATACTTGTATACGTGAAAGATGGTTAAAGGAACCGAACTTGCTAGTAATCGCAGTGAACCAAAAAACATTAAATTCGTTCCCGGCAATGAAATGGGCATACCTCAATTATATCCAAGAAACTTGAAAATAAACGAGTACAATCTCAAATGCACAGCGGGGTAGCTATTTACTAATAATAAACACAGTACAACTTTTATGTAAATGTTACATAAACACACACACACACATCATTTTATCACTGTTACTCCCTTGTTACATGCATATGTAGTTATTCCCTTGTTACATGCATATGTATTATATTATACAAACAAGACAATAAAAAACTATAGCTTTCGAATTTGGCACTATGTTCATCAAGAATTCTAGTTACCGGCACTTATCTTCGCCTTGTCGTTGTGCTTCTTGGCAGCCGTGACTGCCGATTTTGCTACATTCTTCGCAGCCTTGGCCATTTTCTTTCCCATCCTCGTTGAAACGTGCTGCTTTCCTTTGGGAATCAAACTTTCATTCTTGCTCGATCGTGGACCATTGCTGTTGCTGGAATTCATTTCTACTCTTCTTTTGAAAATGTTTTATATGTTTATGAACTCTCTTTCTTTTGCTTGGTGGTGTGTCTCTGAAGAAAGATATCAGGTATTTATACGGCACGAGACCTATGAGATTCTTGGAAACCCTTTTTTCTACAATGTTCTCGTGTAATGTTGCTGTAAATTCTATGGGATTTCAAAGAAGAAGACACCTCTTTGCTCATGATCTTCTCTAAATGTTGATGTCAACTAAATATCTTTGTTAAATTTAGGTTGAAATATAGATGTACTAAACAACATTGCAAGTGTTTGTGGGTGTCTCGTGCTCTATTAGGAGTAAGATTGAACGTCATTTTAATATAAAAATAAAAACCAGTATATATGGCCACGAGTACTCTATTTTTTTCCTTTTTCATTTTCAGTAGTAATTCGTTTCTGCTAATTAATTTCATGTAAATTCAAAGGAAGAAAACAGCCTTTTGCTTATGAGTTTCTTCAAACGTGGTTGTGAATCAAGGACTTGAATTTGTGGTTGTGTGTTCTTCTGTGTTAATTAGAGTTATTATTTTATTTTTATATGCAGAATTAGAGTAATATCCCTGAAATTTTATTGGGTTGCACGGTGCTTTGCATGGCTTCCCATAGAAGTTTACTTGCCGGCCCTCATCCATCTTGTAAAATAAATATTTTCTGAAATAAAAATGTAAAAACCTAAATTATCGTATGACAGTATGTTTACATGTGTTCAACTAATTCATCTGTCTTTCAAATCGAAATGAACAAAACTTCTGATGCCATTCTTTGAAATTTCTTAAGAGCATTCATATGATTATTTTGAATATATAAGTTCCTAGCAATTATTATATTTAGTATAATTAAAGATTATTTTGAACATAAAAGTTCCTTGTAATTTAGATATTTGTGTAATTAAGGTCAGCTTTTATACCATGAAATGTAGCATCTGACCTCTCCCACATATAACTTGTTGGACAGGTGCATTTAGAGTCCTTAATTCACACCCGTAAAAAGAGTACACGTCCATATTTGGAGAATGGAAGGGCTGGTTTCTTTCTTGAAATACCATTATTTTCATGGACCTTATTAGATGTACATCAAGATTTACATAAGGGAATACATAATGTCACATGACCCTCTATAATTTGCCAATTTAAAATATAATTAACTTTTTCATCAAATCTTTTCCCTCCACACCATTTTTGGTAAAATTTGAAATAAATGAATTTAAAGATATTTAATGAGGTTATTAAAATATACTAATACTGTTATTCCAAAGGCGACACAAGGATTGGAATTAATGACGTTGTATGAAATATGTAACAAGATCACAAATATGAAACAAAATTAAAGTCAAGTGCCTAAGATAGTTAAGCAGAGGAACGATATTTTATTATTCTAACTATATGGAGAGACAATACAAAACTCAGCAATAATGCTTAGACTAAATTGAAAGATGGCACCCACATTTATAAGCTACGGCCAAAAATCCTAGAAGAGTCCTAAAAATGTAATAATTAACGTGTAATCGCGTAAAACGAGAAAAACCTGCTCGGCGCTAGTTATCTTCCATGCGGCCGCATGGAAGTAGAGAAACGGGTGCCAACAATTGATGTATAGCCTTGTGTGACTGCATGGTGCTATCGCATAGAAGGCGTGCATCACTCACTTCCCAGTCGAATACGCTACACATGACTCCAAGCCCTAAATTTGAGTCACCAAACTTAATAATCTCCACCTTAACTGAAATTCTAGTGTAATGAATGAAACTCCAAAATTTCTCCACCTAGGAAATAAATCTGTTTGCATCGAAATAGTCAAACACCTCAACGTAGTAATTAAAACTCTCCATCACCAAAACCATCGTCCTTTACACGATATCCACAAGCGACAACTGAACCCTACTCCCGGGTTCCCAAAATTCCACAGAGAAATTATCATTGACCAAACACTGTCGAAGTACATCCTATAGCAAAAATCACACAAAATGCTTGATCAAAAGGTCCCTTATCAGAACTGTCACCTTCAACGATCCCTAATGCATCACAGACATTATTGACAATACTGTACCTACGCTTCATGGGTTCAACCCAGGCATTTGAACACTATCCAACCGCTAGAATTGGTGGTAAAGCGGAATTACCAACGCTCCATCGAGCAATGTTCTGAATCTACCCAGAGCCCATCACAAGAGGTATGGTACCAACTGAATATCCACCACAGTATTAAACTTGTCCAGATGTCTCTTAACTGGTTTCGCGCTTCCCTGCAGTATGTATTGTTAGAACATTTTTTAAAAGTTTTAAACTTTCACAACAAATATTAATTTTCAATTTTGATTTTAATATTAATTTTTTAATATAAAATTAAATCTCGTAATTTAGGTTGTAATTTAAGAATAAAAGTTTCAAATTTTCGAATTAAAAACCATTTAATTTTTAGTTTTAACATAAAATTAAAAGACCATAATACATATTATAACTTATGTTTTAATAGTATAAATGTGAGGGTTGAAATTTTACCTATAAAAGATGATTGGATTTCATTATTGTACATTTTTTATAACAACTTGAAATATTGCTCTCACAATTTTATACGATATTCATAATTTTTTGACAATTCGATGAGAAACTCGTTCACTTATCTTTCTATAGTCGTGCCCATAGAAGTAGAGTCGCATGGAATTTATCTTGGAGTTGTGTAGTGCCGAAAGAACTAGCACGAATGGGAGGCAACAAGACTTTAGGACAGCGTCTTCGACGCGACTTCCAAAGCTTACTTTTTTAACCCACTTCTTATTTTATATTATTGTTGAATTATGTTTATGTCAATTAATTGATTATGTCTATGCTAATTGATAAAATATCCACACGCAAATCACCCAATTTTTTCAACAATCTAAAGTCGTGTTGAGATGATGATGTGTAGATAAATCATGTGTAATCTTAGTTTACCTTTTGTTATCTTCGATGCCAAGTTGATTTCCTTATTGTTGCTTAGAAATTTCGGACGTGCATGTGTGCCTAATACACATCTATAGGTAGAGATGTCAAAGAGTCAAGCCTAGTCGACTCGGGAGCCGAATCTCAAGACTTGGGCTCTGCTCGAGTAAAATCAAATGGGCTCTTTTCGAGTCCGAGCTGAGCAAAAGCTCAGCCAAAAAAGCAAGGCTTGGCCTGAGCTTTTCGGCTCCCCCCTTAGCGAGCCGAGCCGAGCCGAGTCGAGTCGGGCCAACTCGATTTTTTTTTTTTTTTTTTTTTTTTTTTTTAATTTAATGGCAAATAGTTGACTTTGTTCCTTTTTGTTTTAAATTTAAGCCCAAGCCAGAGTTGACGAGCCACATGGGCCGGCTCGGGCTCTGTCTAGAACCTCAAAATCGAGCAGACTCGAGACTTTTTCGGGCCGAGTCGACGAGCCCAATTAATATCCTTATCTATAGGTAGTATAACAAGCCATGAATTCTATTGGTAGATGCCAACCGCAGCATAGTACACATCTAACGCAAGTGTCGTAAGCAATCTGTTTGTATCTGAAGGAAACTCCAATATGTCAATGATTGGATCCCTAACTAGTGTTTGTCAAGAATCTCGCCCATGAGAATTCACCAATAATCCATCTAGCTTTCTTCATGAGTGACAGATAATTCTCTCGAATTGAAGGAGATATAAATGATGGACAACTTTTGAGCATCGGAAATATCCCTTAGGCATCCTGTTCTCCAAGACTCAGATTTAAGCATATTTAAATATTTGTTCTAGCACAAAAATGACATTAAATCTGTAGCATTGGAATACCTATAGGAGAAAATCCCAACTGATGGTATCAAAAGCTTTACAAATATCATTTTTTAGAACCCTGAAACCAAATCATTTTTTTTGTTCAAAGCACTTACACACTCTTAAGCCACTGCAATGTGTTGAGTAGTAAACTTGATTT